ACAAAAAATTGGGTTTGAGCACAGAATAAGAGCATGAGAACCACCTCGAGATTAAATATGTACAGATAGCAAGTTCAGAAAGACGTGTATCGGCTATAAATCGAAATAATGATAGGGGTTGTGTAAACAAAACAATATATAGATACAAGCCATAGTTTCGTGAACAAATATATACCGGAACAAACATATTGAAAACGATTTTAATTCGTGAGCAATCCTTTTCGATTTTTTTCTCCAAACGACTCATGCATTCAAACAACGAGTAATATTTCTTGCGTATAGGTCTATATCCTTTCAAAATGAACATTCTACACTCTAGGACATTTTAACTTGCTGTCAGCAATCTAAGATTATCGCATTCGTGCTGCTACATGTCTCTAAGAGCAATTGGAAGTAAAAATAACGGATATTTCTGTTTATGAGAAGTGCGTTCTAAGTTTGTGTTGAATTATGATATCATATAGTCACTCTTCAGTAGTAACGGTCAGTTCACTCTACAGGGAAAAACATGATCACATATGGTAGGGTATGGGTAAATGGTACGAATGCATAGAGTGGCTGTCTGAAGTGCCAACGCTGTAGAAAAGGGTAGCACGGAAACAGATAAAGAGCCCAATAACGGTTGCGATCGGTGCAGTATCTCTATTTGTCCCAAAGAAACACGATTATGCAGGCTTGGCACATTAGTCGCCTCAATGTCTTGCAGTGGGACACAACAGGTATATTGAGAGATAGATACCTATAATAATTTGGGTTTTTGATGCAAGAAAATTAGGTGGGGTTGATTTTTCGAGGTCGTGAGCTTTCCTCCCTTCTTATATATTATCATCATTGGGGTAGCATTTTTACCGAAAGTTTATCCAACTTCCTTAAATGTGTAAAATTACTAGGAACACCTAAATTTAGGTTTAATAAAACTGTAACAAATTATCAGTCCCTGTGTTGATGACGTGTCTGCTTCGTTTCGCAATTGCAACGTTGTGATAACTATAAACGCTGTAATACCCAGGATACATTTTTCCTCCGATTGATTTGAAAATACTTTCTGTCGAAAGCACACATGGTATCTAATATTGTTAATGATTTCAAGGTACAAATTTGCATCCGTCCTTTTTGACGGTATTGAATCTTGATTAATATAATGGTTGCCTATCTTGAAAGGGTGGAAGGCTAGGGTTGGAGATTTCTCTGTTACACATTCAAGATAGGGGCTGATTGTTTTTCGCCCATTCTATTTCACTCACAAATACCCCGACAAGCGGTGATTGTCTGAACTATTAGCGTTAATTGCATGTTCACTGTGTGTTAACGACACCGGATATTGCTATCAGGCAGGAGGTGATCACATAAAGTGGACCGTAGTTGAAGGTGAGTTTTTTCTATATTTTTCTTAATTCAGAGGATACCATGTGCTTGATGCTTTTTGGATCAATACCTCACATTTTCAGCGTTTACCTTTGAAAACGAATTTACAACGAATTCGAAAATACGATCAATGTATGTAATGCATAAACATATTCATTAGTTATAGGTAATTAAATTTGTTCGAAAAAAACCCCACTACAAATATTATTTCAATCACGTGATAATTATCAATCGTGAGTTTTCGCCGATACCAGGCGGCGTGTTTGCAAGTTTAAAAGAAATATTGACCCATATAGGAATGTTCTCTGTGGTTTAAGCCATCGCTAAAAGTCTGAAGTAAGGGAAATATATAAACAAATCACCTGCAACAGAAGCACACAGTGACGTTTTCTTCCCAGAAACTCCAGAGTTGTCTTCCATGGTCTGGTGACATCATATTATTGTTATGACTTAGATCGCGCTTTACTGCACGAGGCTTAGGGGTTAACCAGCTGATTTGTTCCGGCTTAAAAGGGAGACGCACATGTAAAGGGTGAGAGAAAATCTGTTTTTCTCATTTCTCTCACAAATTTTATAAGGCCGATTTAATAAATACACGTTTTTAAACAACAAAAAACACCTATATTTGTGAATATGAAAACATGTATTTATGTTTCCTACTCACTTATCTTGTTTCAAATTATTGATTAAATCTTATTTCATGCCTACTATATGCTTAAAAAATGGATTATCGCCATGGCATTTTGGAGGGAGAGTATTATAATTGTTTCTAGTGCAGAGAGATATACATTTTAATGACTATTATACATTGTAACTCAAAAAAAGGAGCGAATTGCCTTTCGCAGGAACAAAGTGTCAAAAATCGTGTTTGAGTCAAATGTCCAGGAAGAATTAGCTTCAGAGTGAAAAAGAATGCGATTCAGGTGAATAAAAACGCAAATAACGACAAATAACGACAAATGTGACAATTAATGACAACGTCAAATGATATATTCTCATTATATCATTATATACATTTTCCGATTTTATTGCAACCTATAACCGGCTCACGCACTCAACGGAAGCCCGCAGTAATCAGGTCATAGTTATATTTGCAGTCCGGCATTTTGTTGATGTTGATCGTGCAACCGGAGAAGGTTGAATTGGTGAAATATCCAGGCGTAAAATTGTTTGTTGTTCTCACAGACATTTGAGACAGGCAGCTGGTGTTCGGGATCAAAGCAGAAGATACCGATAAGTTCAGTAGCGACACTGTTAGTCGCTCGTAGGTGCAAATACCAACTTCAGTTATAGTCTCATACCATGAAGCTGCTATTGGCAGTACTTTAGTAGTAATATTGAAGGGCTTTGCCACACCAAATGTAAATATATGGTGATAAAAGATGACTTTTTCTCCCAATGGCAAACAGGTGTCGAGCGATCGGAAATATTTTTGAAACAATTATGTGAGATTGTTTTGATGAGACCGTTGGAAAATTTCTGATTATTATAAATTTGCATGTGATAGAAATATGCTCAAAACGCAATATTAGGCAAATAGTATAATATGGCGTCACAAGTCGTCATTTCCCTCATGTCTATTTCCGTATTTGCGACGTCTTAAACCTTAAAATTGGAGCTTTTTATTTGTTTTTACTATCCAAGTCCTTGTCTTTTCTGTAGTTGAAATGAGCCTATACATATAATAGATATGGTTCCCTTTCCTAAACATTCGTAAATTAAACATCTTTGCTTTGTAAAGAACAAATATACAGTTCGTTTCATGTACAATGAGAAAATAGAAACGTTTAAGATTGTCAACCTGGAATTCAGCAGGAGGAAGTAAACACCGCATTGCCCTGTACTAAAACCAGTTCGCTGAGAATGTCTTAACGGTTGTGTGAATAGAAATAAGTTTGCCAAATTTAAGACGTAATCATTAATTTAAAGCGTGGCGTATTCCAATGGTACCCGCGACCCTTGCTCTTGCCCACAAAACTACACAAAAATTAGCTTAAGGATCGCTGTCTCGCTTCAGGCAAAACACTAGAGACAGCGGTAACCTTCCTCTAATATTATTTTTGATATAATTTTAAGTGATTGGACAAGGCTACGTTCTTTGTTTAGAACGACAATATAAATATCTGAAGTCCTTGGTTCGAATCTTGATCTGGCCTGTTTATTATTTTTCACTGAAACTATTATTGTTTTGTTTGTTTATTTCATCCTAAATTTTCCGTCTTTTAAGAAATAATTTGCTTTAGCTGTAGTCGCACCGGAAAATTAATAAATTCATTTTTACTGTTTTCGGAAAAGTGATCCTGTGGAGTAAACAGTAATTTATGCTACTCGCATGGCATTAAGATTGGGCACAATTAACTTAACTATCAGAAAACTGGATATTGAAAAAATTCTGGATTCAAATGTACGTGGAATAAAAACGATTTGAAATCCAATTAACCATGCAATGTGGAATTTACAATTGGAAAATTGAAGAAAGCAATTGACATTTATTGAAAGTTAATTTGATCGCTTTTGTCCGAATGCTATCTGATAATGAAGGAAATCAAATTGGGAAGTACAAATTGATAAAAAACATTGTATAGTTTCGGTGAGATTTAGCTTACAGCCGTTGAATTGGCAGATGTTTTCAGTCAGCCAATTCCCAACAGCATCTTCATGCACTATCCAAATTTACATGTCCTGCTGGTTTAATTTCTTAAAGGGTTTTGATAGAATGAAATTGAACACGGCATACTTCATCTCTCTCTGTAGTATAGACGATCCTTTGGGGGCGCTTTGTCGTTGGTGACGTATCTATGGAGGCGGTTTGTACTGAAGGACCTCTTACCTGTTAACGCCATAATGCGTTTGATATTTTCAGATGATGACGTCACGAGGGTTGTCTTGCGGGGTTGTCTGACTGCGGGAGCAGTAACACGGGGGGTTTGGACTGCGGGAGCAGTAATATTGTGTCAGGGAGTGTGGACTGCGGGAGCAGTAACATTGTCTCAGGGAGTTTGGACTGCGGGAGCAGCAACATTGTGTCAGGGAACTTGGACTGCGGGAGCAGTAACATTGTATCAGGGAGTTTGGACTGCGGGAGCAGTGACATTGTGTCAGGGAGATTGGATTGCGGGAGCAGTAACATGAGGGGTTTGGCCTGCGGGAGCAACATGGGGGGGGGTCGGACTGCGGGAGAAGTAATATTGTGTTAGGGGGTTTGGACTGCGGGAGAAGTAACATTGTGTCAGGGGGTTTGGACTCCGGGAGCAGTAACATGAGGGGTTTGGCCTGCGGGAGCAACATGGGGGGGGGTCGGACTGCGGGAGAAGTAATATTGTGTTAGGGGGTTTGGACTGCGGGAGAAGTAACATTGTGTCAGGGGGTTTGAACTGCGGGAGCAGGAACATTGTGTCAGGGGTTTTGAACTGCGGGAGCAGTAACATTGTGGCAGGGGGTTTGGACTGCGGGGGCAGTAATATTGTGTTAGGGGGTTTGGACTGCGGTAGCAGTAACATTGTGTCAGGGAGCTTGGACTGCGGGAGCAGTAACATGAGGGGTTTGGCCTGCGGGAGCAACATGGGGGGGGGTCGGACTGCGGGAGAAGTAATATTGTGTTAGGGGGTTTGGACTGCGGGAGAAGTAACATTGTGTCAGGGGGTTTGGACTCCGGGAGCAGTAACATGAGGGGTTTGGAATGCGGGAGCAGTAACATTGTGTCCGGGGGCTTGGACTGCGGGAGCAGGAACATCTGGATTTAATAGTGGTTTGGACTGCGGGAGCAGCAACATTGTGTCAGGGAACTTGGACTGCGGGAGCAGTAACATGAGGAGTTTGGACTGCGGGAGCAGTAAATTGAGGGGTTTGGACTGCGGGAGCAGAAACATTGTGTCAGGGGGTTTGGACTGCGGGAGCAGGAACATCTCAGTAACATTGTGTCAGGGAGTTTGGACTCCGGGAGCAGTAACATGAGGGGTTTGGACTGCGGGAGCAACATGGGGGGGGGTCGGACTGCGGGAGAAGTAATATTGTGTTAGGGGGTTTGGACTGCGGGAGAAGTAACATTGTGTCAGGGGGTTTGGACTTCGGGAGCAGTACCATTGTGTCAGGGAGCTTGGACTGCGGGAGCAGTAACATGAGGGGTTTGGAATGCGGGAGCAGTAACATTGTGTCAGTGGGGTTGGACTTCGGGAGCAGGAACATTGTGTCAGGGGTTTTGAACTGCGGGAGCAGTAACATTGGGTCAGGGGGTTGGACTGCGGGGGCATGGGGTTTGGACTTCGGGAGCAGGAACATTGTGTCAGGGGGTTGGACCGCGGGGTCCTGGGGTTTGGACTTCGGGAGCAGTACCATTGTGTCAGGGAGCTTGGACTGCGGGAGCAGTAACATTGTATCAGGGAGTTTGGACTGCGGGAGCAGCAACATTGTGTCAGGGAACTTGGACTGCGGGAGCAGTAACATGAGGGGTTTGGCCTGCGGGAGCAACATGGGGGGGGGTCGGACTGCGGGAGCAGTAATATTGTGTAAGGGAGTTTGGACTGCGGGAGCAGCAACATTGTGTCAGGGAACTTGGACTGCGGGAGCAGTAACATGAGGAGTTTGGACTGCGGGAGCAGTGACATTGTGTCAGGGAGATTGGATTGCGGGAGCAGTAACATGAGGGGTTTGGCCTGCGGGAGCAACATGGGGGGGGGTCGGACTGCGGGAGCAGTAATATTGTGTCCGGGAGTTTGGACTGCGGGAGCAGTGACATTGTGTCAGGGAGATTGGATTGCGGGAGCAGTAACATGAGGGGTTTGGCCTGCGGGAGCAACATGGGGGGGGGTCGGACTGCGGGAGAAGTAATATTGTGTTAGGGGGTTTGGACTGCGGTAGCAGTAATATTGTGTCAGGGAGTGTGGACTGCGGGAGCAGTAACATTGGGTCAGGGGGTTGGACTGCGGGGGCATGGGGTTTGGACTTCGGGAGCCGTAACATTGTGTCAGGGGGGTTGGACTGCGGAAGCAGTAACATTGTGTCAGGGGGGTTGGACTTCGGGAGCAGTAACATTTTGTCAGGGGGTTGGACTGCGGGGTCCTGGGGTTTGGACTTCGGGAGCAGTAACATCGTGTCAGGGGGTTTGGACTTCGGGAGCAGGAACATTGTGTCAGGGGGTTGGACCGCGGGGTCCTGGGGTTTGGACTTCGGGAGCAGGAACATTGTGTCAGGGGGTTTGAACTGCGGGAGCAGGAACATTGTGTCAGGGGGTTTGAACTGCGGGAGCAGGAACATTGTGTCAGGGGGTTTGAACTGCGGGAGCAGGAACATTGTGTCAGGGGGTTTGAACTGCGGGAGCAGGAACATTGTGTCAGGGGGTTTGAACTGCGGGAGCAGGAACATTGTGTCAGGGGGTTGGACTGCGGGGACATGGGGTTTGGACTTCGGGAGCAGTAACATTGTGTCAGGGGTTTTGAACTGCGGGAGCAGTAACATTGTGTCAGGGGGTTTGGACTGCGGGAGCAGGAACATCTGGATTTAATAGTGTTGAGAGAGAATAATGTTAGAGATATAACTTCAAAAATGAAGAATGTTTCATATTTCAGTTCCTTTTCCAAATGAATTTTATCACATAGGGGAGCATATGGTAGCTGGACTTTCCTCCAAAGTTTGAAGCAGATTCCAAGAGAAATATTCAGTTTACTGATACATGTGCTTAAAATTTGGCTCAAGTCTCAAAACTTTGTGGATAAGTATTGAATACATTGTAACTCTTTTTAATAATAATATCTAGGATAGATATTTCAGCCCAAAAATCCAATATATATATTTTTGATACAGAACAAATTCTGTTTGAGAATCAACTGTTTTAAACAGATAGCGCTGACACTCAATCCATAATGATATGGAATATTTGAAATTTGAATATTTCTATAGTACATAACTCCATAACCCACAACCTATAGGGACATGTCAGATGCTACCAGGTACACATTTATACATACAATGGAAGATATTATATATAGTAAATTGACATCACAGTATATATATATATTTTTTGCACACTAACTAGCATGTGAAATGTCCCTGTAACCCACATCTTATCATAGGTAAGTAGTGGGATTATTATTGGAAGCCAATATCAACACATCTAACTAATACAGTACTTTAAAACAAGAGCCCCATGGGCCTAACAGGTCACCTGAGTTGTAATGCAATTGTTATTTGTTGTTGTGATATGACAAAAACAAATGGTACATATGTATAGCAGGGAATGTTGTCCCTCCCCAGGGAGGAATGGGTACCCCAGGGGTTGTGAAATTCACATTTTGGTTAAGCACATCAGGATATTTCAATCCATGAGGAGGTTTTCATCATATCTGAGTCTGAAGTAACCAATTATTGTTATAGCTATTTTGACCCCTTTTGGCTTCGCCCCTCAGGCCCTTAGCGATCACATTATGACAACTCAAACCAAGTATACATTTGTATGGCATTGTCACTATATTAGTCTCTTTGAAAGCTGTGTCGTTGATGGGACTTTAATTACCATGCAGCACGAGACACAATTCTTAGAATATTAATGCAACACTGACCGGAATTACGATATCCAATGTAAATAAACTCGACGGCTGCTGAAATATCACTGGGTATTGTGAGACCTGACAACGTAATTGTAAATTTATGTGCAAAAGAAAAAAGAAAACATAAAAAAATACTTTTATTACAACAAAAACAAGACCAAGGTCTGCAATATCGTACAAAATGCGCATCGGTTGAAATCATCAATGCTGGCAATGGAAACAATTTTAACACTCGTGCAATTAATCAGAAATATCGCCTGTTACACTGAACTGATCAACAGGGGTTCGTTACAAAATGTCTGAAATACACATATTCTATAGACCTACTGACACATATGTTACAGACCTATTGATATGAGTCACAGCACACATAAGCATTTAAGACATTTGTAGCGAACCCATGTGTTCTGTCGCAAGATCACTCACTTCAAACGCTATAAGTTTCACGGTTTCCTCAGTTTCTGACGACATGTCAAATAACGAAGATGTTATAGAATCTACCGACTGTAGTCAGATTCCCATACAATCAACAAATAAATTCACGTCTGGATTCTTCACAAAATGAGTTCGAATTAACTTCCAAAAATAACTCCCTCGTAGAGGGCAAGATCGGATTTACGGTGGTCACTGTATCTATCCAAGCGCAAAAATTGCTCCGGGGGAAAATCGAAACAATTTCAAATCTAGCTTTCAGCTCAGAGTTCTATTGATAAACTTAATCACCCTATAGACATATCATACGCAATTGTATTGATACTGAATTGTGGAATACAATTGAAGTGTTTGTTAAAATTTCAAAGTACTGCTTTATTTGCCAATCAGCACGCGACAACACGCTGTTCAAACTATTGAACGAAATTGTGTGGACTGTCGATAAGGCGGGAATTTTAAATTTTAAATATAAATTCTAAATTAAAAAAGAACATAAGAGGCAGAGAAAATGTAAAATATAGGTATTGAACTGTTTTTGTAAAGTTCAATGCTTAAATGAATTCGTTACTACTGAAATGGATAAAATATATATTGAAAAGTCTCATTTCCATAAACTATAGCAAGATTTATCCCCTCCCCAGGAGTAAATGGGCGGCAATTGATAAAAAAACGTATACATCGGATATACACCTCATATGCATCAGGTATAAACCTTCAATAAATACTACAACAAATCTACTACAAATATAAACCTCCCATACATTAAGTATACACAACCTATACATCCAACTGGCATCAACTCCTATAAGTCAGATATCAACTATACATCAGTTAAACACCTCCGGGTCACTCCCATATATCAGGTACCAGGTATACTCCTCCCATACATCAGGTATACACCTCCAGATTATCAGGTACATATACCTCCCATACATCAGGTATACACCTCCTATATATCAAGTATACACCTCCCATACATCAGGTAAATACCTAAACATCAGGTACACATATCCTATATATATTATACCTCCTAAACATCAGGTATACACCACCTATACATCAGGTATACACTCCCATACATCAGGTATATACCTTCTATACATCAGGTATACACCTCCCATACATCAGGTATACACCACCTATACATCAGGTATACACCTCCCATACATCAGGTATATACCTTCTATACATCAGATTACACCTATACATCAAGTATCCATACACATATACATGTATAAATTTTTGCAGACAGGTATTACGCATGTATATACTATCACAGACATGTATTACACATGTATTTACTACAACAGACAGGTATTACACATGTATTTTCAACAACAGACAGGTATTACGCATGTATATACTATCACAGACAGGTATTACACATGTATTTACTACAACAGACAGGTATTTCACATGTATTTACTACTACAGACAGGTATTACACAGGGGATTACTAATACATAAATGTATTACACATGTACATGTATTTCTCGTGTAATGTAATGATGACCGGAAATGGCTACGGGTCCCCCAGGTTGTTTACAATCTATTGTGAAATTGTAAGTAACCCGTATTACACAGGGTATCATCGATGCCCAATCGGCTCATTGTTGCCCGCCTCTGTTTTTTTTTTTTTTTTTTTTTTTTTTTTTTNCTCCTCAAATGGTCAAATAGACATTCTTATCATAACATCTATCTTATCAAATAACACATAAGATTCTGAAAGAAATTATCGGCATAAAAAGTGTTGGCATCAAAATATTTTCTAAGAAATTCCGTTATAATCAGACATGGCTATTCCCTTTTTCCTATGTACTAGATAATAAGAGCGTAGCTCTCGGGCGCCCGAGCGAAGCTCTTTAATGGTAACACATTCGTGGGTAAACAGAGTTGCTTCCCCTTTCTACATGTTGCCTTTTTTTTCGTCCGGAAGTAGACGTGCAGTGGGGAAACAGGAAGTGTATCCTTGAAGCAAAGACAATTGTGTTTCAACCCATACATGAATATCTTTATATAGTGAAAACAATCTTGATGTTTTATTACTTGTTAAAAGTATTTCACATACAATGTGATACTAACAAGCATGAAACTTCGTTCAGAGATTATCATACCATGACGTCACAAGCACTTCCGGAGGGATGAAAAATAACCGGAAAATTCTGGACCTGATGTCCGTTGCATTTATCTCTTTGTCTGTGCTTCAAGACTTTTTATTCTTAATTTGTTTCCACAGGCACAAAAAATGCGAATGTTTTCTGAAGATCTTTTTTGTCATCAACACGGTTCTGTTCATATTTCTACCGGGAGATATCTTCAAAAAGAGAGCATTTAAAATTCCACCAGCTTTTGATTTCGATATGTTGAGAATATGAACGAAATAATTTTCATTTTTGAAAGTCTGCATTTAGTCTTTACATTATTTATGTATCGCCACTCATAAAAGTAGCAATTGAAAATGCATTTATAACACAAAATTAGCAATAATTTTCCAGACAACCAACCCAAGTGCAACGCCCTTTTTCAGCAACGTATCACTTTTTCACAACGCGTGCCGATTTATAACTAGTTACAGACAGACACTGTAATTTTATTTGGCATCATTACCTGTAAAACCTCGGTGACAGTTACAAAATTTGAAATTCAATCCGTAGTTTAAGGATGGAACAGTAATTGAGACTACATATCGATATAAAGACAATTTCAGTTACATCAAAGTATTACAATGTTTTCTTTTTTTCAACTTCATTTTTTTAACTAACATCTCTATACATTTACTTAGACTAATCGTCAAATATGTAATATGCACATTGAAACGAAATTGCTACTTTTTTTTTTATAGTCAAGCGTGTAACACACTGACAGCTTCAAATGATAATACACGAAAGCCTAGCCAAACACTCACTCCCATTTTGCTGTACGATAAAAAAAATTATTGAAATATCAATTTGGGCTGAACAGGTTCGACCAATAGGACCATGGCAAGGTCGGCCCATGTAGTTAACACAAAGTCGTAAAATTGGCGGTAAAATCTGACGTTGCATGCTTTATGACGTCATAATTAAGCTGATTCTAATGGGCCGAACTTACCCGAATGCCTGTCCGAACTTACCCCATGGCGAGGCTCGTTAGGCCATCCGATCTTCCGACAGGGAAAGTTAAATAATGTTCAAAAACGGACGTGCTGCCATACTTCCTAGAACGGACTTCAATAAAAAAAAAAAAAAAAAAAAAAAAGGCCGAACTTGTCCCGGTCTCCCTATTGTTATGTCGGTCTTAATCTCATTAGAGCTTGTGTTTTATTGTTATTCCTCGACTAGCCGACTTTAAGTTTATCTTATCTCATTCTGAAAGTTGTATTGTGAATCAGTAAATATCAGAAATCAACAAAAGCTACACTCTTTTAATGCTTTGCCTTTTCATATTATATGCAATGTTGGCCACACACGAGAGAGTTCAGTTGTTGTGTATTCTTATAGAGTTATATTTCCACGTGAAGAATTTTTTATCTAAAAA